AAGTCGCACATCTCGTAACCATTCCATTCCTGCAAATTTTCATTGACAGTGCTAGGTGACCCGATATATCTCAAAGAGAAAAGAAACAACTGTCTTCAACTTCATTTCAACGAAGCATCTAGTGTTAATCATGCTTTATGTTTAATCATCTAACATAAAACATGAGACCACCTAGGGGATTTGGTCCCCTACCTCGTGTTTTCTTCTCTTTCCACATCTCTCTTGCTGCGTGCTGAGCTTGAGATTCAACTCCCGTACCACAATGTAATTTTACTTGGACAAATATTTTCTTGGAATATGGACGTTCTTTGTTTACCTTGAATGATCAATTCCACATGAACTGGAGCAGAAATAACTTCATTTGAATGCAGCATGAATGTAGACATGTCATTCTAGGAGAAGAGGAGACATCTCATTCTAGGTCAAGATCAATATGTGACTCGAGACAATCTTAAAAAGGGAAATATCAATGTGGAACTTGTCTGCTTCTTTACATACTGGACCTGGAATTACCTTCTCTTTTGATACTTTTGAACCTTTAGTTGGATACACTCCTCTCCTTACATAACACGTCTTTTGTAATTGCACAAAAAGTGAAAACTGTTCTTGTGGTGGAAACAAAAACACTTGACGTTAGCATGTCTTTCCTATATTGGTGGTTGACACCATAATAGTTGGACCATGGATATTTTGGTCTGAATACAACATAAGAAGACATCTCATTCTTGCCCTGGATCTGCAGGTGGCCCGAGACAATGTAAATAAGGAACCATCACTCAGAAGTGTTCTTTCAGATCCCTTATCGTAAGTTTTAATTTGTCAAATGGACTTTTCTCCTTCTTTTCTGGTTAAATATAGCAGCATATTAGTTGCAAGAAAAAAAGAAGACAATATAGCAGCATATTTACTGCATGAGTATATTAAACTGATAAATTGACTGCATTAAAATTTACTGCATGAGTATATTAAACATCTTATACTTTCTTAGTCTCTAAATTGACATCCCTTACTTCCATTTATAGCAAGAAGTTTAAGAAACGCTGGCCTAGTTTGACTAAAGGTCTTGCAGAAGTTTTCAAGATTATATCTTCTTAAAAAATTTCCTAGCAAAATAATGCAGATAACATTTTCTTCTTAATGAAATGTAGTAAGTTTGGTGATGAACAGTATCAAGAGGGTACCGTTATAGAACAAAAGCAGGCCCTTGTTCTCCACTAAAGACTTAGAGTCTTGCAAGTACATAATCTCTGCACTTATAGAAAAGCATATCTCTGTCATTCTATTACAATGTTACCCTTGCAAAAGAAATATATGGAAGCCAATTCCTCTATGTTCCATATACAGTCTGTCTGAGAGGAATTAGGTATGTTTGAAGGAAAAAATGCTAGGCAACTGTAAAACTAGCAGAGACATAACATGACCATATAGATGCCTAAAACTTGCAAACAGAACCACTGAAATGATCTAAAGAATTGGTATAAGGGATGTTTGAAGGAAAAAATGCCAGGCAACTGTAAAACTAACAGAGACGTAACATTATAGATGACTTATACTTGCAAAACAGAACTGCTGAGAAGGTCTAAAGAGTTGGTATTCACTCTACACATGGTATTCGTACAAGAAATGTGGTTTGGTTACAGGAGCTATGAGATATTGAACGAACGCGTGCGACTCTTTTGGAACTGAGCTAGCTCTGGTTTCTCATGCTGGAAATATTTACAGAGACTTATTGCTACCCTCAATCGTGTTGAGTTAATAACTAAGTATAATAAAAGTCTAAAAACTTGCATGCGGCTCAAACCCCAACCTCCAACTGAGGAAAAACAGTAAGAGAGAAGTCAAAACCTCTACCACTGTTAGTTGAGTTGTTGTGAGTTCCCTCTGATCTGAAAAACGTTGAATATCAGTAGAGCCAAAAAGAGGCCTTTGGCTAAATATAAGAAACAATTGAAAGCTGCATCTTGAGCCGTGAAGCTTATTTTTAATGCATGTACATCACTTAGATTAGAGCTATTACATGTTGCAGAATGTGCAGAAGTGAGGGGTCTCATAACAGTTGAGAGATTGCAAAAAGCTTTCAGATGATTTGGGGTGCTATTTTGCAAATTTTTAGCAGCTTCACGCATTTTGAGGCTGAGAGGAACTCGAGCATTAAAAGCAACTAAAGCATTAAAAGAAACACATCAATCCCGTGCTGAGACTTAACTAGAATAGAATCAAGAAGTGGATAAAGAATTTGGAACTTGCATCTGTGTTTTCTTATGGAAAGGTAGGAAAAGCTATATTTCCTACTCTTCCTTGGCCCTTAAACTAGTTAAATAGTGCATGACAAGTCTCTTAATTGAACTTGATAGTCGTAGTATTTACCCCCCACCCTCCCCATTCCAAGCTTGTATCTCTATTTTTTTCTAGCTCCGTTCATGATTCATATTAGCATATGCATGGGTTATTAATGCACAGTTTCTTGCATCTGGAAAATATTTACTTTACCGTTACAATGTGAAACATTGCAGTGGCGCATTCCTTGAAGATGCTATGTTTGTTTCATGTGGACATTCCTTTGGTGGTCTCATGCTGAAAAGGGTTATTGATATGGTAGGAGTTATTGTCTTCTTCTCAAGCCATTTTATCTGTTCTCATAAGAATATGAAGATTATAAATTGGTATGAGCTACCACAGACTTTGACCAAACCATACATGGGATATTGGTGCAACTGCTTCATGGACAAAACAACTCTTGCTTGAGCATCATTTTTCTTTTTGGTTTCATGTTGTTGTCTTCATTTATTGGGTTAGTGATGAATGAGTCAAGAACATAATCACGTTCATCTCATCATGACAGGCAAGATGTATCCTCTGCAATGCTGAAATTGAGCGTGGTTCCTTAATTCCTAACCACGGTTAGCTCCAGTTCATTTATTTCTCTCTCTCTCTCATTTATTTATACATTATATACATATCTTCTCCTTCAGACTTCCATTTTTTTTCTATAAAAAATTGTTTCCCAACACACTCTAATTAATTCTCTTCTGGTACCTCTTACTCAATTTTAAATGATTTTTCTCATTAATTCTGCCATCTGTTTTACACTATTCATCTTCAGTACTGAGAACTGCGGCTGCAGCAGTGAAGCATGAGGATGACCGAAGACTTTTCCACAATGCAGCTCTTAGAAAGCGTCGAAAAGAAGTGGGAGACATTAGGGTAAGCTTTGATTTTCCCCATTTTGCTGCAGACTTGTCCATCCAAACTGCATAGTAGCTCATTGTCTTCAGTTTTCTGGTAAAAGGAACTATCTTAATCTGATTTTAACTTTTATGCAATGACATGACAATTAACATGTCCTAGTCAATTTTTGGATAATTTTCCGTCTCAAGCTATGTTGCTCGGATATGGGTGTGGGCACCCAATACGGTAGCAGATATAAAGGTTGGATTTATCATTACCTAAATTGTAGGATTCAGGAATATGGATAGGATTATGGGTGGTTTTTAAGGAAGAACCAATGTAAAACATATACAAGTATATATTTGACAGCTAATTGAAGTTATCAAATTATCATCTTTTTTGTGTAATTTTCTTTTTATAAGTTAACTCGTATAATAACAAATTGCTCTTGGCTATAGAATAGTCCAAAGTACCCAAGCTAGTTTGACCAAACCTAGCATGGATTGGACACCCACATCCAAATCGCGTCGGATTGAAAGTCGACGCGGAAAGGTTTTTGAAGGATTTGTTAGATCTGAACTGCACAGGAATCATATATTTGGAAATTACCTAGTGAAAATGAAAATGTTGATTATGTACCTTAACATGGTATAATGGTTTATGTTCTTTTCTCATTTGTATATTGTTCTTTTGATAGTGAAGTCAAAACCTTGTTGAATGATTTCCCTTTGGTAGATTTGGCAGATTGCATAGTTTGTTTAGGGAAAGCAAAGGCTTATCCAGTTTTTGCTATCCTTTTCTTGCCTTGGAAAAAGTTTGGATTTAGTGATATCTATGTTCATCCGTATTTAGGCTCTGTTTTAGATTAGGGCAAATCGCAAATTTCTTGCTTCATTGACCTATAAATGTTTGAAATTTGAAATTATCTTTGTTGAATATACCTGTGAGTGATTCTTCGAAAATCCTCATTACTTTAATTCGTCCAGGAGAATGGTGAGCTTCCTTCTGAAAATGGACCGCATAAAGGTGTTCAGTATCCATTCTCAGTGAATGAGAAAGTTCTTATAAAGGTGAGATCTTTACGCCTGTGCATTCTAACTTCTTGGAATCTATAGAAAAGGATTCGCCGAATTACAGTAATGTGAATGCGGAACTGTGCAGGGAAATCGGAGGACACCAGATAAATTTGTTGGAAAGGAAGCTGTAATCACATCACAGTGTCTTAATGGCTGGTTAGTTGCCTGAGCATTTCGTTAATATTTTTGCGTATCTACTGCTGTTTGAATGTCAATTTAGATCACTAACATGTATTGCGTGGATTATGCTTTGCGGTGTTTAGCTTAATTACTGAAATCTTAGTGATACACGCGCAAGACCATCCAATTTAGAGAAGTAACAAATTTGACAGCTCAAAACTTAAGCCATCGTTTGATAACAATTGAGTATGCTTTGATTCTCCTTGTTTAAGGACCGCTAAAATGATCTTCTCAATTTCTCCAGGTATTTGCTTAAGATTATGGACAGCGGTGAGAATGTTCGATTGCAGTACCGCTCTCTGCGTAAGTTCCTTCCTACACAGGAAACAGAGGAGAGATGCCAGTCACAGACAGTTCAGAACAGTAGCTGATTCTCATTAGATGATTTACAACCAATTTCCATGTGGATTATGTTGAGCTCCCTCTATACTCAAAAGTTTAAAGATGCAACTTTTTTTCTTGTAGCTTACATTGTTTTTACTTAAGAGGATGGGGGTTTAGAGCTTATCAAAATCCTTAAGAGTTTGCTTGTATAGGATTGTAAGTGAGATAAATTTGAGGATAACAAGATGCTCATTTTTCTTGAAAAATTCCCTGTATGATGCATCTGTAGTACTTTTCAGTGCCTATTTATGTTTTCATTCATCATGTGCAAATGTGAAAATCACTGTTTCATTCCTGTCCTATTTCAGATGCTTGAAGGAGCATGCACCCCTTGCTGACATGAAATAATTTAGAAAGATTCTTCTTCGTTGACGACGATCAGCTCTGCTTCTTTTTCAGTCAAATCCTGATTTTCTTTTGCAAATTAACGAGTTCTTAACTTTAATCAATGAACTTGATAATGATCCAAAATCGAGTTTTGATTTGAAAGACCTTTCTTTGTTTTCGGACCACCAACGTGGAAGAGTGAATTCAGCAAAAAGAACTACATATCCACTATCCATTGTTGAGCATGAGGGATTTAGAAAGTTTGTAACTAGTCTCCAACCTTTAGAAATAAGAAAAGCCATCTATACCAGAGAGTTTCCACACATGGCTCTAAAAGCTACATGACTTACTAAGAGACGTGCTGGAAGAAACAGATAGCATGTATATAAATGATGCACAAATATTATAGGAAACTATATCAATGTCACTTCCATCTGATACAAACTATTAAAATCAAGACAATTACATCTCATATTATGTAATAGGAAAAAGAGTTGAAACAACAAACCGGGTTTTAACTAACCGATGCAAATTGATGAGGAGACTCAGATTATAGTGTCATGTGATGTGACATTCTTAATTATCCAAGGATGCTCCATGATCTTTTGAAGAGAGAGCCTTTTAGAAGAGTCCTTCACAAGAAGCTGCAAAAGTAAGCCATCAGAAAGGGGTGCAGTCAGTGGCCATACACAGTATTATACGAAAGGTGTTCAACTAACCACCCTTAAGTCTCATGCAGTTGCGTCAATGTTCTGCAACTGCATAGACAAGGACTAATCAATATACCTGGCTAATGAGATTCTTAGCTTCAGCAGATACATCAAGTGTTGAAGGGAAGCTGAGGTCTACCTTCATAATTCTATAATACTCTTGAGTTAGTAGTACATCTCGATTTTCCAAGTAATAGTATGAAAAAAAGCAGAAGAATTGTTACCTTCTGAATGTGTCAGTCTGTCTCTCGGCCTCAAATGGAGGCACACCATATAGAAATTCATAGCAAAGGATCCCCAGGGTCCAATTGTCAACTGAATAATCATGAGCTTTGTTCTCCACCATTTCTGGTGCCAGATAGTCCAGAGTTCCGCACATTGTATGTCTCTTGCTTCTAGATTGTACAGACCACCCAAAGTCTGCAATCTTTAAGCGGCCCTGCATTTCATGTGATAATCTAATTAATATTTTACCCTTACGATGCAGCACGTTAACAATTCCCTGGTTGGTTTCAGCTGCAGTTGCTGCACAATCAAATCCAGCTCTAATTGGGACGCCCATGAAAAACCTAAGCGCTAACATTACATACATTATCTTAATAGAACCATCCTGACTGCTCTGTTATATATGGTTTTATTAGGATACATCAACAGATATACTCCCTTGATCTCAATTGTCATTATCCTATGAAATAATGGTTGAAAGACATGCAAATTATTTTAAATATACTAGCTTTGAAGGTAGTGAATTTTACAGTTGACATTTTTTTCTTGACCAGGTTAATTTATGTTGAAACAAAATGAGATAGATAGTGCAAGCTCTGGTGATCGTCAGAATGACGTATCATATGTAAAACTTAATGTCCCACATTCACAACTTTAGCCAAAATTAATAAAGAATCAGAGGGTCGCTATTTTACTTGAGCCTGGTTATACAGCGACATGAGGTGAAATCGAAAGAAATTCTATATAACAATAGAAAGATTATAAAGCGAAAGAAATTCTATATAACAATAGAAAGATTATAAAGCGGCATTTCCAGCCTTTATAAGTTAAACAGAAAATGCAACAACAAAAGATAGGCAATGACATACTAGAAATAAGACTGATCAGAGAAGAGCTTCTTGAAGGTTGTTCAATAGGCTGATTCAATCAGCAAGCAGCAGTTAAAGTCGCCAAGGCAACTACGGTGTCAAAGCTTTGCACCAACTAGAAGTGTCAACACTCCAACAAGCTCTACTGCTTTTTCCTTTTCCGTGAAGAAAAACAGAAGCTGATTGAATTTCACAGGAAAGATATTTATGAAGGATATTACCAATATCTGGTTAGGTCAATGATCTCTCAAGGTTCAACCCTCAGGAGAGTCGGGACTAAAGAGGAAAGCTAAATTTCAAAGCAACTGGAACCTTCGAGTTGATCCATAGTGTTATGAACCTTACAAATTAGCCATATATATAGTGTGTGTTTTCTTCTTTTTAGGAGATGGTGCTAATAAAACTTAGCAGACGTGGCAAACAAAGACAGTAAGTTATCAAGATCTTACCTCATGATCAAGTAACAGGTTTTCCGGCTTTATGTCCCTGTGAATAACATGCTTCTCATGACAGTACGCCAGTGCTTGAGTGAGACTTGCAATATACTACAAAAGAAACAACCGAAGTATCAAAAGTCAAAGAACAAACATAAAGCAACAGGAAAGAAGTTGAACACTAAATGATGATTTCTACATAATTGTAATTATGTGTTCGACTATTCCATAAACAATTTTCAGATAAACACTGGAGTCATAAGAAGGACAATAGTAACGATAACATTAGTTCATTGTTCAACATTAAGCACAGAAGAAATAACATAAACAAGACACTATGAAAATGAAAAAACACCAACTGATACAAATGCAACCCAAAATTGCACCATCTTTCAAGTAGACCATACCTTACATGTCATATAGTGATAGATAACGAAAGAACTGAATCTCTATCCTCTTTGTTTGGGTTCGGGGGAAGAGGCCATCAGTTGAAACAATTTAAAAGCTCACAACTAAACAACAAAACTACACCTCAATCCCAAGCTAGTTGAGACAGCAATGAGAATCCCATAATCCATTTCGCTTCATTTGTACCCGTTTCATTCAATAATATGGAGCTCTCTAACACTAGAATCAATGAATATATGCTCATAACAAATTACATAAACAAATCCGAATACTGCAAATGAACTAAATGCTTTTGTTTCATATCTTATATGAGGAGAGCAAGCAATAGGATGTAACATACTATGGCAGCTTGTTTCTCAGACAGACGACCTATCTTCCTTAGCTCCCTATACAGCTCACCGCGATGAGCATACTCCAAAATCAAGTAAATCCGCTCCTCATCATGAAACCAACCATATAGCCTCAACACATTGGGATGATGAAGACTTGTTTGAATCTCCATTTCCCTCTTAAGCTGATGATGCAACCTGTATTTCTCTATCTGCTCCTTGAATATCACCTTCAACGCCACTATAAATCCACTCTGCAAAAATTCAAGTTCATCTTTCATGATTTTTTTTCTAATAAAATAATCCAATAAACAAACAAAACTAAAATTTCAACTTTCTGAATTCTACATCTAATACCAACACAATACTTACATTGTTTGTGCAAAAACTATCAGATTCGTCCGAACTCATATTAATTCCTGAGTCTAATGCGCATATCGGGAAACAACGAGAACGTAGAAAAACATACATTTATCTACTCATTCAAATTACCTTAACTTCGCGGGCGAGGTATACACGGCCGAATTTGCCTTTTCCGAGGGGTTTTCCGATCTCGAAATCGTTCAGGGACCATTGTTTTTTAGGGTTTTTTGGTGGTTGTTTTGGAGGTTTTAGAGATTTGGAAGCCATTTTTTGTTGGTGTTTTTGAAGGTTTAAACATACAATACTTGCAAAATTTGTTAATTAAGGAGATGATAATTATATGTTTAAGTGGATAAGTAATGTGATTAGTAGTTTTTAATTAATGCTCTAATATAAGATACTATACCCATCTAAGAATATGTATATTATAAACCCATGAAATTAAAATTTCAAAATTTTCAAATGTTTTTTGAATTTTGAAGTTCAATTTTAGACATTCAAATTTAAAGTCATGTTTGGCAAAGGTGACTCATATATATGAAATAGTTTCATGGTCAACAAGCTTTAATTGCCTATATAAAATAGGCATACAAAATATAATCATCGTCGTCTTTTCGAGGAACTTTCACAAATAGTCACAACAACAAATTTAATTATTTCATCGCTACAATTTTTATATTTATGGACTATAGCTATACTTTAAGCTTACCTCATTTGTATAATTTGCGAGTGAATTTGTGTAATCCAATTATTTTTGTATAAACTCAAAATAACAAATTCATACAATTACAAACCTATAAAGTGTAAACAGTTGTACATATTATATAAAATTGCATTGTATAAAAATTATACAAAATATATTATACAAACTCTAAATTCTACAAACATGCTAATTATACAAAAACTAAAAAATAATCCGCATAATTGTATCTAAAAATAGGTCAGCAAATTATAATAATAACAAACTATAGTTATGTTCACTAAATTGACTATTATATTTCTACTAATACGCGCAATTTCCCTTTTTTTTTTTATTTTTTATGTGAAATAGATACATAATAAATTCGTAGAAAATTGAATATTCTCTTAAAGGTTGATACAAATTCTGTAGAAGCAGAAAATATTGGTCTTTCCACAAAATTGATTTTCTCATCACATACATTACATTGCTATCAATTTTGCAAGATTGATAAAAGTTAAATATTCGACAAAATTGGCTATAACTTAAATAGTAGAGGCACTTATAAAATCAGCGCGAGTCGTCGTTAGCTCATAATGTTGTCTATTTCACATTAGTGTTGTCCTAAGCAGATGATGATGTACCAATTTCGAGTCCACGTCCAGATGAACAAAGGCGTGGGATGATGAAGATATCGCGATCCACTTGGTTACTTCCGCGCGTAGAATGCAAGCAGTATAACGTTCAAAACCCAGATCAAGCCAGAGACTGTCATCATAATGCAGATTGTGTAACCTGTCATTTCGAGTTTTAGCAAAGGATCCAAGTTCAAGTTCAAATGAAAAGAAATCTACGTTAATGGTTCTGTTACCTCATTCAGCTTTTGAAGGAAGGTCAGGTTAACTTCTTTTCGAAGACTCTCCACATCCATTGCGTATTCTTCACTAAGATCATTCAACTGTTGCCTCGTCCTCTCAAGTACCTCGTTCAATTTACAGAAGTCCTTGAAGAGTTGAACATCAGTCGATCTAAGTAGTAGTAAGTTTTTAGTTGCGTAAAGGGCCTGCAGTTAAAGCAATGTCAAGCCTATAACAGACTTTTTAAAGATGTCACCAACATATGCAAGGCAATATTTTGTATTACAGAGGCTGTGTTCAATGTATTGAAGACGGAAATGTAATGAAAGATACGCGGGATAGTCCAAATAAAACAAGTTTATGAGCCCATATACCTTATAAAGTCGTAAATCTATATGTTGTTCGAAAGACTTGCCAAACCAAGTCAATCAATTTTTTAATCAGACATCGCTCTACCAATTACTTCTCCCATCTAACCAACACTCCACCATTAAAATGCAGTACAACCGACTGATATAGCCACTTACAAAAAATGAAAGTAGGCGATTTAGTCAAGAAAAAGGATAATCCAACAGAGCGACACTTTAAACTTTGGAGGTATACGGGTGTACTCATGACGGATGCAACTGTGGATTTTACGTAAAAAGACCATCGACACTTGCTCTTCACAAAGGTCAGGCCAAAATTGCTGAGGATGAGAATCATTTCTAATATTTGAAAACCTAAGGGATCGTGCAAATGAAATTTAGACTACTAAGATACTTTAGAAATTAATGTTCATTCACACTAAAGACTACACAAACCTTTTCTGTTAGATCAAGATCGCTTGATGCCATTGAATCAACGATGGCCTTCAGTAACAATCGATTGCTAAAAAAGGAAACCTCAGCTGTGTTCTCATTTTCCAGCTGACTCTCGGCTAAATCAGCAATAAGAAACAGTGACTTCTTATGCAACCTGATATCCAGATTTGAATTGCTAAGAACCTCCTGCGTACAACGACAGAAGGAAGTTATACACTGCAGCAGTAGACGAGTTCTAACTAGACTCAATCTTCAGTGGGATCACCTGAAGCATCGTATCTCCAGCTTCCTGATAAAACAAACTTCGGCCATTCATGTTATTTCTTATTAGTGCTGAAATAGCAAATAATGCTTTTACAGCTTCTTCCGTGGTGTGAGATTTCATCATCTTCATTAGCACTGTCAATGCCCCAAGTTCCAGGACCTGAATGCAAAAGTCATTGCACAGCGTCAATACAATAGCCAGTAAATTTAGAATATAAACACAGAACTGCACACATGAAAGCGACAAAGAAACTAAATCATTAAAGACCAAACTTGTATAAAAACATAGCTCCAATACCTGCTTCTGAACAATGGGGTTGTTTTGACTGGCTTTGCCAAGAACCCATGCCGCAGCAATCCTTATTTCTGGTTCAGAATGATTAAGTATTCTTACAAGTATGCTGAAGCCTCCAAGTTTCTGCAGATCTGAAAATAAAAACCATGTAAGCATTGAGAAAGTATATATGTGCATTCAATGCTTTCTTTAAATGAAGGAATGGTGAGAAATCGGTTGATGCCTGTATAAAGAAAAACTATTGATGAATCCTCAAGAGTCAAGACATTAACAAGTACACATAAGCATCATTGAGAAGCTTCAAAAACCAAGATCAAGAAAGGGTGCTATAGTTCCTAAGAGGCCAGTTGTATGCTCTTCTAGTTCGAGCCTCCTAAAGACTTGATTATAGCCTTATTAGGTCTTGGAAGCGTGTCTATTGGGAATATATAGATGCTAATGAATTACTACAGTTGATATGAGGTCAGGTGTCATGTCTCTCTACCTCACAAAGTTAAGGGTAAGGTCTGCGTACACCTCACCCTCCCCAGACCCCACTTGTGGGGCTATACCGGGTGTGTTGTTGATGTTGATATTATGTCAGAAGTTATAAAACCAAAACCAAAAGAGGCAAAAACAAACATCTGTAAGACTGTAATAAAAGAAGTACTGAGAACTATACATACCAATTGCATTATCAATATGCTCAACAAGTACCAACAGCTCCTCTAAGGCACGGAGATGATGCTCCAGAGGTAGGGATGAATTATTTAAATCATTAACTGCAATCAGCATCAACTGCGCATCTGAGGGAATTTTCAGCTTCTCCATCAGTTCCTGGAGAAGAAACAACATATAAATGTATGAAAACCCAACTGAAGAACAAAATCATATTTAAAAAAAGGACCCTTTGGCGTTTCATACAATTGCAAGAGGTGGAAAAATAATTCCTCATTTCTTTTCTTACTTTTTTGTTTTTTTGGGGGGGGATCAGTAAAGCAAGTTAAAAGGTGAAACAAAAAGGATACACAGGTACAGACGAGATGTCCTCACTTATGTCCTATCAGTGCCCACTCCTAAAACTACCACTAAACTACAAAGAAGCAAGGAAGATAGACAGAAATATCGGTCCGAAAAAAAAATTGGATTCTTCGTCAACTATATCAACCATAGTAGAATTTAGAGACAAACAAGTAGCACAAAACTACATTTTACTTTAGTTTCTATTCTAAAGACCAAAACGTGGTTCTAGTTAGAACTGATGGAATCAGAGAAGAAACAAGATAATTTCTCATACTACTTGACAAAATCTCCCCTCCTTTATCCCAAAGCAAATTGGCAATGCAAGAAGAAATCAAGCAAATAGTAGGAGAAACCGTGCTTAAATTAGATGCTAGAGTCCCTTAATTGGGTGCTAAATATAACTCTATGAGCATGGATTTTCCCTACATGTATAAGCATTTTCTTACATCGTAATGGAATTGTTTCAACATTTAAATAAATGGTGGTCAGCATTGGGTGGCTTCTTATGTGATGTATCAACGACAAATAAAATTGAGTGATCATAGGGTGACATGGATCATGAACAGTACAATGGACATTTTATATAGAAGAAGAAAATCAAACAGATTCACCAAAATAACCGTATACACACTCCACTAGCATCTACAATTTTGAATTCATCTTCTTCTAATTCTTTACAATTTAGCTAGAACCAAAAGCTTCATCCCAAGCCCTCCCTATTTCCTACTTTAGACCACATGTTCATAAGCAAGTGTTTCATGCGAAGACTATTGAGATCAGCCTATTCAAAGTCCAAGTTTTAAGATATGTATTCATAATAAAGTTTCTATTTTATTTCCAAGAACCATTTCCTTCTTACACTAGGAGAAGGCTAACAGTGATCTCATGAATCTAGTAGGAGCTGGACATGCAACCTTTCTAGAGTAGCACATTCGTGCTATGTTCCACAGAGTGAAGTTGAATATTAAGTAGTTGAATATGTTCAACAGAGTGAAGTTGAATCCTAAAATATTAGCTCAAAAATTAAGGCACAACAATAAGATGAGGCATATTCTGCTTCTTAAGCTCCAACCAACTTTACTTGAAAGCTTCATTTATTCATTTTTCTATCAATTTACACCGTCATTTCGTCAAATCCTACACTACATTTGTTTGCAGCAATACACTCTACCTTCAATAACTTCATTTCTCAAGTTCCCCTATTATTTTCAATACATGTAGATGTTAGGAAAGAAAGGGTATTGGTTCTTTTCATCTGTGTAAGCCTTGATGGATAGATTTATCATGTACCTATGCTAGTGCAAGTTGAGGGTGTTATCAAAAACATGAAGGCACAAAGGAAGAATCACAATCTCGTCAACCGCACCTTCAATTCAGTTTGGCGTTTGTTTAGTTCCTCCGGAGACATGCGTTGAGCGACTTCTGATCTTTCTTTTAGTACTCCAGGATCCGAATGCCCTGTTTATGTATTTAGAACGAAACCAAATCATTACACATGGGTAAACATAATTGTATAATAAACTTAGTACACAAACCAAACAACCCCATAAAGTTCAAATCTTGGCTCCCTTTCTACCTTCCACCAACATAAGTACCGGATATCACACCTTATACCATCCAACTTGGTATCACGGGATAACTTACTTCACGAATCAAACAACCCCACAAAGTTCAAAGCTTGGTATCCTCGGATAAATTCATCTACGAACCAAACATCGCCATGAAGTCCAAATCTTGGTATCGTAGGATAATTTAGTCGGGTAGAGCGTACGCAGACACTCTAACAGACCTTACCTTTAACTCAAAAGTGAGCTACAACTATTGTTTCCGATAGACATTCAGCTCAAGAACAAACAGTTTATAAAAAGACACAATCAAAGTTCAATAAACAATAACAAAAACAACTACAACAATAAGCCTAATAATCCCAGTTTGCATCCTCCACACCTTCCTATCTACCATAGACACATAAGAACAAAATATTTAATTCAACCTTTCACAATTACATCTCAAAATCAAAAGTTCAAAAAGGAGATTTGAGAAAAAGTTTAAGTACCTATAGCCCATTGTAACATTCCATCTAAAGAAGAAAACCCACCATCCATATCCTCCTCTTCTTGAACCATAGCTAATTTATTGCCTTCCTCCTTAGGGTTACTAGACCCAACAACAACAACACTACTTGCAGCTACTTCACTACTCGCAAAATTTGCAATTAACACCACCATGAAAACTGCTATGAAAATGAATTTCGCCATTGCTGCTAATTACTGAGCTTTTTCTCTACTCTCTAAAAATTATTTGTTTTAATACTATATAGTAGTATTATAAATGAGAAAAACAAAATTGTATATTACGTAAATCCAACAGATTTGACCAATTGAAAGCCGCCACGTGGTTGTTATTTGTCACTGCTAGATAATTTTTTTTCAAATAAAAGTATATGCTTAAATTTTAAAAAAAATTAAAAAGAAAAAAAGGTATTAAATGAATTTGTTAGATTTATTTTTGTTTAGATAAATTGTTAATTTTTGGTTTTAAGACGGAGAAGCTTAACTTTAAGCCCAAATTGAAATTTAAAAAATAAATCAATCAATTATTTATTCTAGGGAAAATTATATATAATAGCAAACTAATAACCTAAAATAAATGGAGTAGTTAAGGTTTGATTTAATTATGCTTCATAGAAAACGTTTGCAAAAAAATTGTCAGGCGCCTCTCTCCCAAATATCTCGTTCGCCACTCTCCTCCAATCTCTCGCTCGCTTCCTCACTTTTTTATACAAACACAAGTGTATAAAAATTGTTTCTAATTGTATAAAGTAGAGAAAATTGTATAAACACATATATTTTTGTTCCCCTCTCTCAGCTCTCGCTCGCCACCCTCGCCTTTCTCACTTATACAAACAGAAACGAAATGTATAAATTGCATTTCTGTTTGTATAAAGCGTGAGAAAATTGTATATACACATGCAATTACATATATTTTTGTCCTATACACTTATAATTATACAATAAAAATACTCCCCTACCCAGTTTTTTTTGCCTTTCTCTCTTTCTCGTTGTATACAATTTTCAAATTGTATCTAATTTCTCTCTTTCTCTTTTTATACAATTCGGTTGAATTGTATATTCCTTGTCAAGTCTCTTTTGTCTTTCTCTTTTTCTCATTTTATACAAATTCAAATTGTATATAATCGTTTTATACACTTATAATAATATATATACACTTCATTTTTATACAATTCTCTGCCCAAGTGTCTTTCTCTTTCTTGTTTTATACACTTCGTTTAATATAATTTGCTTCAAATGTATATGTATAGCGAATTATACAGTTTCTATGTTTGCTATGTAACGCAATTATGTAAATTTTATTATAGCATACAAATATAAATTTTTTATTTAGTATATGCGAAAATTGTCCTTTATTCTATTATGTTGATAGATGTCATCCTATTAGTCTTATTGCAAGTAAAATATTCTCGCATGTAGATGTTTCTTTCAACCAAAAAAATATATTCTTATGATAATTGATTATGACAATGTGACTTGTCATACAAAATAACAAGAGAAAGATACACAAGTATCCCTAAATTATTACTAAAATCCAGAGACACGTCTTAACTAAATAAGATTCTATTACTCCCTAACTTCTTTCTTTTGTAATTTTTTTTACACCTTTTTAGCTTACGTGGCATTCAAATACTTCACGTTGGTGACACCAGCGCTCCCTTCGAAGAAGAGAAGAATAAATTATACAACAAAAAATGGAAATTTTTCAGATTTATCAGACTTATTGCCAAAAATAGTCTCAAAAAAGTTACTGAAGGGATCAACTGAGCTCAGAGCATCACCTTTAAGCATTTAGAGTTGATATGCTTTCTATCTAATACCTTAAATCATTCCAGCTTGTAAACTTACTAAAACAAAGTAATGAGAAAATCACCTCATCGAAAAAAAATACAAGTAGATCGAAAAATGGAGAACTAGTCAGCAAAGGTAACGTTTAACAAAGACAGCGATGGAGCAACGCTCTAACTCGAGCCTTTTTCTTTGGTTTCATTTGCAATAGCATCAGTTACTAAAGCCATTGGTCTTTCATCTATAACCTCGTCGATTATTCCAAACTCCTTAGCCTCTTCTGGTGTCATGAAATAATCCCTATCCATATTCTTCTGAATTATGTCAAGTGGTTGTCCAGTATGTTTTGCATACAAGTCATTCAGAGTATCCCAAACCCGAACAATCTGTTTTGTGTGGATAGTTAAATCCTTAGCCTGCCCGCTATATCCACCTGAAGGCTGATGAATCATGATTGAAGCATTAGGGAGAGATCGTCTCTCACCCTTTGCGCCAGCAGCTAAGAGAAGGGATCCCATTGAAGCTGCTTGACCTAGACAGATGGTATTAATTGGAGATCGAATATACTGCATTGTATCATAGATCGCAAGACCTAGTCAATGCCAAAAAAAAGAGAAAAAAAGAGTGAGCGTTAAGATATGATCTTGCAAATTTTTCCAGCCGAGCAACTAAACTTCGAATTCTTTTCATTAGAAGTTAATACGACCCCAATGCCAGACCATTTTGTTCAAGCTTTAATCACAAAAATAGAAGTATCAGCGCGATACTCTGACCAAAATAAAAGTATTCGTCTAACTATAACGACATATGCAGAATCACATATATCATCAACCAACTTTGCATATATGATATGATGACTAGTTCAAACTGAAGAAAAAAAAGTAATCTTCAGGTCGTTAATAGCACAAATAGCATCCAACAACTTAGTTGCGCGGACTCTTCACTTTTGATGCCGCACCCGTCTCGGATTCTTCAAAAATCCACTACTTTTGGAGAATCTTACAAGCACCCGTTGGTATTTTTGAAGAATCTGTGCACTACTTTTGGAGAATCTTATAAGCACCCGTTGGCATTTTTGAAGAGTCCGAGCAACATAGTCCAACAATGTTCAAACCAGTTGAGCCCCAATCATGGTTACTAATAAAATATAACTAGAAACCAAAAATCACGCGAAATAGTAGGTATAAAGTAAATTGCCCAATGTTTCCAAATTAATCCAACTGTATACATTTCCAACATAAACTTATGATATCCAACTAACGCGTATTCAGTTTCAAGAATAAAAAAAAACTTATGATACGCAACTATAACAAGTTCTTGGTAATGGTAATAAGGGGGTTTAACGTGGAGTCTGTTACCTAAGGGGGTTTGAATTAGATTTTCCTGATCCTATCTATCCTAAGATGTGCCATTAATTTGAATATACTTTCTTAAAGTGGTCTTCCTAACAGGGCATTCTATGCATCTTCAGCTAGCTTTCCCATCTCCTACTATCCAATGACGCAGCTTCTTTTTGTTCGAAAAAAGGATAATCATTGGCCAAGGTATTCCAACTAGTCATACATAGTCAAACTCAAGACAGTTCACTATTAAGCTAAGATCTCTGCTCTAGACCGAGTATGTGTATACTGAGAGTTATTACAGTAATTATTTAGCACACTGAATATCCTTAATCAGTCTCACAGTCATAATGCCAACCGTGCTTTGGAATCCAACCATTAACAACATTGCACACAGTATTCTACTACCTTAGTGTCAGCAGGTATGCCTTATACATATGAAGGCCAAGATTGCAAAAAAGATTAAAAGTTTGCATCTTTTTCCAAAATCACACAAAAAAAGCACTTGTTCTTTCTTGATTCACCTGAGATATGAGAGCATAATTAAGACACAAATATGCAGGTTAAATTATAACTCTTAAAAGATTTCATTATTTTTTTTTTGATGAAGTTAAAAGATTTCATTATCTTGATCACATAAAAATCAGTTCGAATACCTAAAACAAATGTGAGAGAAAATATGAAGCAAATCATGATCATTTAAGAAAACAAAAAAAAATTGGTATTCAAGGACAGATAAACGAAATCGGTTTTTCTTTGTTCAAAAAAGAAAAGAATTGAATAAAACATAAAGGGAGAGGTTAGAGACTCACACATCCAAGGAGCGAACAAAAAAATAATCGTCGAAAAGGGTATAACATAAATGATGATAGCATTGCACGCCAAAAGAAATAAAACAAATAAGAGCAGCTAACAGAAAAGCCCAAAACACCATCTCCCCTCTTCTGCATGATGATTTATAATGAATATAAAGTACGCCTCAATCCCCAAATAATGTGGAGTCAGAATATGAGTCCTCACCTTCCTTTCCGTTCAATAAATATACCATTTTATACAAACGATTTCTTTATTCAAAGACAAATTAGGAATTCTCCAAACCCTACACTTATATCTGCAATAACATACATGATACAACAAAAAAAAAACTAGTGGCCCTGGACCTAATGTAAGTATAAGAACTAAATCTAAGCCTTAATCAACCCAAACGGAAGTGTTCTGTATGAAGCTTTGTGTCCTCAAAAGAACAATTTGGAAATACTCTTTTCAAAGATCGAATCTTTTCACAAATCACATCTTCATTGATAATGAAATGGATCGTGGGCTTACTCAAACCCAAAAGCTAGCTCATGAGGGAGGATGACCTAAGACCATATAAACCAATGTGGGACCCAACATCCTTCCGCTTCTCTCTGTAAAGATTATTTTCCTTTTGAGGAGATGCGAAAACTAAAACTCTAGAAAACTACATTCAATTTTTTTTATCCCAAAGACAATCAACAAGATTAAATTCAAATCTTTGATATCGAATAATAAATATATAATCCCCTTTCCAGTTTAAGCTAAATCCCTATTTCATTACACTCCTCTCTATAAAGATGAGCCAGCAAAATTGAGCCCTCTTTGCAAATCCCTACTCAAAACGGTGCCTTAAGGAGAATCCAAAGTTGGTCACTAGCGGAAGTAGTGCGACAAAGAGCAAGAGCCGTAGCATTCACAAAAAATGGTGTAACCGCTCTTATTTCCCCCCTTTTTAAGATATGAAAAGAAACAATAAGCCAGTCAACATTGTTATTTGCCTCTAAGGAGCTGCAAAAAACTGACACTCTAGAAACTACATTCAATTGACTTATCCCAAAGCCAACCAACAACAAAAAGATAAAAACCGAATCTTGAGATTGAAAAATGAATATCTATTCTCATTTCCAGCTTTAAGCTAAATTTTCATTTCACTTCTCTCTGTAGAGATTACTATCCTCTGAGGAAATGCAAGAACTAAAACTCTTCAAAACTACATTCAATTGTTTTTATCCCAAAACAATCAACAAAAGAAAAAAACTCAAATCTTGAGATTGAATGATAAATATATAATCCTGTTTCCAGTTTAAGCTAAATCCCTATTTCATTTCACTCCTCTCTGTAAAGATGAGTCCAGCAACATTGAGCCCTCTATTCAAATCCCTACTCAAAACGGTGCCTTAAAGAGAATCCGAAGTTGGTTGCTATCAGAAGTAGCTCGACAAAGAGCAAAAATCCGTAACATTCAAAAAATGGTGTAAGCAAAAGGCAAGAACAATGGTGAGCATACTCTTGTTCCTCTCCCTTTTTAAGATAACAAAGGAAATAATAAGCCCGTCAACATTGTTATTTGCCTCTGAGGGAGATGCAAAAAATGACACTCTACAAAACTACATTCAATTGTCTTATCCAAAAAAACAAGATAAAAATCGAATCTTGAGATTAAATAATGAACTATCTATTCTCATTTTCAGTTTCAAGCTAAATTTCTATGTTGCTCAGACTCTCCAAAAATGCAGCTGCATCCATGTCGGATCCTCCAAAAGTCCTCCAAAAATGCAGTACTTTTGGAGAATCGAACACTCAAACCATCTACTTCCTCATAGTAGATGCAAAAACTAAAACTCCACAAAAACTACATTAAATGCTTCTTATCCCAAATACAATCAAGAACAAAGCAAAACAAAAATCAAATCTGGAGCTTGAATATCCAATCTCATTCCCAGTTTAAACTAAACCCCAATTTCATTTCCACAATCAATAGAGAAAAACTAATCCAAAATCCCCAAATACCCAATTTCATTTCCACAACCACAAACCTAACAAAACCAAAATTCACAACCGCAAATCAATAAAACCAACAATTCGAAAAAACACTAACCAGCAGTAACGGCGCCACCAGGAGAATTGAGATACATGTGAATAGGCTTAGAGGGGTTCTCAGATTCAAGAAAAAGAAGCTGAGCAACAACAACATGAGAAGTAGCATCATCAATTGCTCCATTAATACATATAATTCTCTCCTTTAACAACCTTGAAAATATATCATAAGCCCTTTCTCCTCTTGAAGTATGTTCAATCACCATTGGTATTAACCCATAAAATCTCTTACTATTCAAAGGGGTTCCATTGATTCTTCGATTCCATAGTTTGTGAACAATTTGGGTTCGCATGGTTGAATGAATCTTGGATGCAGAAACAAGGAAAGTGAGTTTGAAGAGAAAAAAGGGATAAGAACTGTATTTTGGGTTGAGGGTAAAGAGTTAAATTTGTTCATTATTATGAGAAAAATAAGTAAATTAAAATAAGCAGTTCAAAATCGAATCGAAATTAATATTAATTTGAATCAACTTTTTAATTATTAGTTTATTGTTAATAGGCTTTTGATTGATTGATTTCGATAATGATTTTATTTTTATTTTTTTTTAATATTGGATTGATTTTTAAAGGTTAAAAGGGTTTTTTAACTAGTCAATAGGTAATTAATACTTTCATTCCTTAGTGTCTCAAATTTTTTATTATTATATAAAGTATCATTGTTAGCTTTTGAGCAAGATGTCGTTGGTCAACTAAAGTGTATGGTTCATTTGGTTTGTTCGTTGTTTATAAGTGACTTTTTTTTATATATATTTTAGTGAAATTTTAATGATTAAACAAACTGATATATTAATGATTTTATAACGATTTAGGATATCCACAAATTGATAATCCATAATTTAAAATGATAAAATTTAAAAATCTCTCTTTATAACAACTTAACATGTCTATAAATCGAACTGAATTGGTCTATACACAGCTAGAGATTCAACTTTTTGATTATCCTACAAAGTGTCATTGTTAGCTTTTGAGTAGGGATGGCAATCGAGCGGGTGGGTTTAACGTTATGTGAGGCGGGGGCGGTTTAAGGTTGTGTGGGGCAGGTTGAAGTGGGTTTTTTAAAAATTAATTTGGGGCGGGGCGGGTTGCTAGCATATGTGATTTTATGTGGTTCAAACTTAATTTTAACTTTTTACATGTTATAAGAGTGGTAGAACATTATTTATTAAAATAATTTGAGAAAACAGTCAAATGACCCCTCAGCCTATTAGTCAATCCTCAACTACACACCTAAATTTTATGGGAGTCCTATTACCCTGCTGAACTTTTTATTTTTGATATTTTATAACCCTTAAACGCTCAACTTTTGTCATACCCAGATATACACATATGTTTGAATACACGCGCTAGGTGGGCCCATTTTATTTAATTTTATTTTCTTGTTTATTTCAAGATACAGATGCAATAGACCTCACGTTTTTTAACTTATTTTTTTTAATTAGGTTAAATTCTCAATTCCAAACATAACCACATGTTTACTCTTGAATGATATCAACCTTTCTTCTTCTTCTTCAAGATTATTTGTTCAGCACATGATAATTTTAACAATGCTATGTATCATGTGATGTAATTTATTAAAGATAAATAAAATTGATTTTTGAATGAAAAATTAGATTTTGAAAATCGATATTTTCTAACGTTTCATGATTCTGCTTGCTGGAGGAAGGTGAAAAAGAATGAGTATACCTACGTTATGATTTTATATTTATGAATTGAAGAGGGAAATAACTTATTTTTTGGCATTGATATGGAGAAGAAATTTCAAGCTTCATCATACCTAGATCTAGTTGAACTTGCAATTTTATATTTATTAGTGAGGAAAATAAATTTGAACCTTGAATCTAATAGCGAAAAAAATTAGAGAAGATTAGAAACCCTAAAGGTTCAAGATTTGAAATGGAAGTTACCATTGAAGCTTTGAAATTTTCCCCTAGCTTCAAGCTTTTAAAATGGTAGAAGAAAGGAAGAAGATGAAAGATTTGTGGGAGAAAAGGGGCTTAGAAATACAAGTTATAATTGGAAGACTTATTTTAGGCTGATTTGGACTTACACGTGAATTTCAAAACACAGAAAATACGTTTTAGATACATTTTCACGCGCCTAAAGGAGGTGTATTCACCTTCTTGGACATGTCAGCATTTAAGGGTTAAAAGATATCGAAAATAAAAAGTTCAGGGGGGTAGTAAGACCCGTGAAGTATTGCCGTGTAGTTGAGACGCGAATTAAAAAATTTGCTGGTTAAGCTCAATCCGCACTTCCCCCATCCTACACCGCCCCATTGTCATCCCTATTTTTAAGCTAGATGTCGTCGGTCAACTCATGTGCATGATTTACTTGATCATCTTGCTTTTAAGTGTTTTTTTTATAATTATTTAATAAAATTTCAATAATTAAATTAATATCTTAATAATTTTATAATGATTTAACATATCTTCAAATCGATAATCGATAAGTTTCATCAATTAAATTCAATCAAATCTACCAATTGATATTGCTGGCCTAGCTCAAACAAATAAGATTTCAAATAGTAATATTTAACAATTATCACTATCATTTAATTTCGATCGTGCATTATCTCAGCATTATATTACTAGTAGACAAATATTATATTTTTTGGCTTATAATATCTTGAGAGTATTTGTTATCATAGAATCACATGAATCTCGTTTTGGGACATATTACAAAGATAAGTTTGAGACTTGATGATGAAGTTAAGTTAAGTCATATAATAATATAAAAGATTCATTGATTTTTTTAGATTTTTCTTCGCACACTATTAGGTGAGTTAATTTATTTTTTTGTCACGTTATTTTTTAGGATTGTACTTAATTCACTTAAAAGATGTTAAGAGAGTGTTTAAACGTTCATGTAGTATAAGCACAAAAGCTAATTGTCTGTCGTAGTTCAGAAGACTTTTATGTATTTTCTCAATATATAATAGTGACTGATGGTGATGACTTAGGGGTGTCAAAAACGAACCCAAACATAGGTAATCTGTCCAAAATTTTATGGGTTGGGCTCAAGATGATTTGAATTGGGTTCAATCTCAACCCATTCAAGTTTAACCCATTTGAAGAGAAATTCTCAATTGAGACCAATTTAATCTTCAATTTCAACTCGTTTTAGAACTTTTTATTAAGATATGTTTTCTATATTGTATGTATGAATTATTATCTATTTAATATATTTTAGGATTTATCTATTCATTTATTACTTTTTAACAAAAATTCTTGAGCGAAAATTCAAATTGTGATTATAAAAATTAAATATTATTAAATTAAATTATTGAGATTAATCGAATCAAATTATTGATAATTTTCGACATTAATCAATATATGATGATAATTGTAAATTAAATGAAAAATACTGACAATAAACTATTGATAATTTTTTTAAAAAAAAACTACTGATAATTATAACTAAAAATCATAATAATTAAGAATAATGAACGGCGATGATAGTGGTTGATAATGTTAGACGTGAACAATAATAGCTATGGATAAATAAAATTTGTGCAATCAATTAATTGTAACATAAAAATGCACATATATAGACCATATATAGTACTCTGTTCGTGCACAATTAATTGTTATATTACCTTTTCTAGAATTAAATTACAAAAATTTTGAAAATATTTTATATATTTTTATTACATTGATATGTAAAAATTGCAATTGATAATACTTTTCTTATAAATTTTCAGTATCTAATTTTTTTTAAAAAAAAATCGAATTAACATAATAGTCAAATATCAAAGGCTCGTAAATGATGGCCGCCGGCTTTAATGACATTGTTAAGTACGACCAATTAATTCATTAAATATATCTAATCATTGTGCATTAATAACCCTTTAAAAATCTTAATAGGTTATTTAAATGCTAAACTTACATTTAATTAGTTCGAGTTTTTAACTAAAGTATATAGTGCGAGAAAATTACGTAGTAGTAATTGTTAGAAAAAGAAAAAAAAAATATTTTTCGTATTTTCTTAATTTTTCATATTTAAATATGTTTTCTCTTTTCATTGAATAATTCCATATAATTCAAACTATTTATAATAATTTGAGGATAATTTTTTTGTATCTGTATACAGCGCGAAACTACAATATACTCAGTATATATATCTAAAATATACATAAAATTCTAATACAAATGAAAAAACAAGTGTTTTTTTTAAAAAAATAAATGAATAGAAAATAGCCCCACCCAACATCCCCCCTCCCCCAAAAAAAATTAAATTAATAATTCATTGGAAAAAAATACCTACAAAAATCCAACACCATTTCTATGATTTCTCTCCAAAAATCCTTCCAACACCACCTTCTTCTTGTACTCCTCCGAGCTCCGATCAACGTCTCCGGCGACCCCGTCAATTTTTCCGGCGATCACCGCTTCATTTTTCGTTCGAAATCGAGGGAGAAAATAAAACCATGCACACGTACAAACAATGGCACAAGCCTTACCCCAAAACAACATTATCAATAGGGTCACCATTAGAATAGACATTCCCATAATTGAGTCAAAATTGTCATCACTTAGTACGTCTTCTCGTCGTTGACGTGACTTATTACCGTCGTTGACTTTTTTCTCCGAGTTCTTCTGTTTTTGTGGTGGAAGAGATTTTGAGTGGGATAATTTGATCTCGTATTTATCTTTTGTTGGATTTTTTATAAGGTGATTCAGATTATGTGAACCAGAAATCGTAACGCTTCTTGAAAATTTATCTCGACACGTTGAACTGTCACGTACCTTGTCTAATAATTTATCCAAACTTTTATTTTTTTTGTGAATCATGTCCTTTGTTTTATGGTCCTTTGTCTGGAAAAAAAAAGGGTAAAAAATAATAATGTTAAATATGTGTATTATTCATTTAAGATAAATAGAGGACAAGAAGGGAAAAAATATGTATGACTAAACACAATTTTAATTTCATAAATTCAAATAAAATGAAAAATATTTAAAATAATTCAAGGCTTTAAATTGGGAAAATTGGAGCATAATGTAACATTTAAAATTCAAGGCTTTATAATTAAGTATAATTTATATTTACGACTTAAATAAATTATAAATTCAACAATAATTTTATTGGACCCGTAAGCAACACAAGCTATCAATGACTAGTATGATCATAAACGTCGAATTAATTAATCAATTTAGTGTTAAAGTTTTTCATTTTTCAATAATTTAAACCAAATAAAGCACTAAAATTGAAGAGGAGAAAACATATGCAAATAATATAAATTCCATCAAAAAGAGTGAGAAATTAAAGATTTCCTATATTTCACTTAAGAATTTTTTTCTTCTAATTACTAAACATGGATTTGAAAAAAGATTATGAATGTGTTACCTAGAAACTCCACATA